TATATTGGAAGTTTTAGGCAAAGCACTCAGACAATACAAATAAAAACTTCCAAATTGGAAAAAAAAGAAGTAAAACTATCACTATTCACAAATGACATAATATTTTACATAGAGAAAATCCTAAAGATTTACTCTTTAGCTCTGATAAACAAAATCAGCACAGTAGCAGGATACAAGATGATCACACAAAAATCAGTTGTATTTCTATACATTAGAAACAAACAATGTGAAAATAAAATTAACAATTATTTATAATAGCATAAAGGAATAAAATATTTAGGAAACAATTTATCCAAGGAGGTAAAAGAATTGTACACTGAAAATTACAAAACACTTTTGATAGACATTCAAGAATACCTAAATAAATAGACATCCTGTGTCAAGTATTAGAAGATTAAATATTGTTAAAATGATAGTACTAACCAAAGCAATCTAAGGCTCAATGCAATCCCTAGTAAAATCCCAGCAGCCTGTTTTACATAAAGTGAAAAGCTGATTCTAAAATTCATATGGAATTGCAAGAGATCCTAAAAAAGCCAAAAACAATCACAAAAAAGAACACTGATTTATGAATCATTATGCGAAGTGAAAGAAACCAAGGGAAAAAGATCTCATATTATAGAAATCCATTTTTATTTTATGACTTCAAAACTTGCCTCAAAGTTACAGCAATTAAAACAGTGTAGTGCTGGTATCAGGACAGATATACAGATTGATGGAACAGAACTGTGAGTCCACGACCTTCCATGCTCAAATGACTTTAACAGGAATGCCAAGAGCTAAGACAGGGACAACTGGATATCCACAACCAAAAGAATAAAGTATATAAAACCAAAAGCACAAGAAACTAAAGAAAAATAGATAAATTTGAGCCGGGCTCGGTGGCTCAGCCTGTAATCCCGTGCTTTGGGAGGCTGAGGTGAGTGGATTGCCTGAGCCTGTGGGTTCGAGACCCACCTGGGCAACTTGGCGAGACCTCATCTCTACAATAAATTAAAAAATTAGCTGGGCATGGTAGTGCACGCTTCTAGTTCCAGCTACTTGGAAGGCTGAGCAGAAGGATCGCAGGAGCCCAGCAGGTCAAAGCTGCAGTGGCCAAGAGCGGCCACTGCACTCCAGCCTGGGCGACAGAGTGAGACTCCAACTCAAAAAAAAAAAAAAAGAAAGAAAAAAGAAGAATAGATAAATTGGACTTCGTAAAAATTAAGAATTTTTGTGCATCAAAGACACCACTAAGAGAGTGAAAAGACAACCCACAGAATGGGAAAAATATTTTTAAATCATATATTTGATAAGGGTCAGTATTCAGGACTATTACAACAGTAAAATAAACAACCCAATTTTTAAAATGGGCAAAAAACTTGGACAGACATTTCTCCAAAGAAGACATACAAATAATCGAGAAACACAAGAAAAGATGTCTAATATCCTTAGTCATTAGGAAAATGTAAATGGAAACCACAGCGACATACCAGTTCAGACATGGGAGATAATGTGTGTTAACGAGGATGTAAAGAAACATAAGCCCTCACACACTGCTGGGAGAAAAAGAATGAAAGTGCAGCCACTGTAGAAAACAGTTTGGCTGTTCCTTAAAAAGCCAGACACAAAATTATCATGTAGCTCAGCAATTCTACTCCAGAGGCAACTAAGCAAGAGGCAACTTAGAAAAACGCTCCCACAAAACTGGTACGTGGCTGTTGACAGCTGCACAAGGCTTTTCAGAGGTGAATGGCTACACAAAGTGTGGTGTGGCCCCAAGGGAACACAGTCCTGACATACGCTACAGCGGGGAAGGCCCCTGGATCATCGTGCCGAGCAAAAGAAGACGGCCACGAGAGACCTCATGCTACAGAACACCATTTTTAATGGAACGTACAGACTAGGGAAGCCTGCACAGACAGAAAGCAGCTGAGTGGCTCCTCGGGGTTGGGGCAAGGGCAGAGTCTGCGACAGGCAGCCCTGGCCACGGAACACCCCAACTCTCAGTTCTCCTCCGTGGATCTCGGGTGTATCTCTCTCTACTCCAGCGCTTATCCTTAGGCCAGCACTACACTGTTATGGTTACTGTAGCTCTGTAGCAAGTCTTAAGGTCAGGATGTGTGAGCCCTCCAACTTTGCTCTTTTTCAAGATTGCTTTGACTTTTCAGGGTCTCTTGCAATGTATATGAATTTTAATTACTCTGTATGAAAGAGTAGGGGATTTCTTTTTGAAGTGATAAAAATATTCTGGAATTTGATACTGGCAATGGTTACATATATCTGTGAATATATTAAAACCCATTGAATTGTGCACTTTGGGCAAATTGTGTGAGATCTGAACTACATTTCAATAAAACTGTTGCAACAAAAATTAAGGATATGAATACATTTCTCCAAATAAGGCATACACATGAAAAGATGCTCAACATTATTAGTCCTTAGGAAGATAGTGTTGATACATGCTAACTGAAACCACAGTGAGAGATTACTTCATACTCACCAGGATGAGTATAATTTTAAAAAGAGGATAATAAACACTGGCAAGGAAATTGGAACCTTCATACATTGCTGGTGGGAATGAAAAAAATGTTTCAGCCATTTTGGAAGACAGTTTAGCAGTTCTTTAAAAATTTAAACAGAGTTGTTACCATGTGGCTGAATAGAAGTGGTATTACTCCTAGGTATATACTAAGGAGAACTGAAAGAGTATTTACAAAAAAATCTTGTATGCGAATGTTAACAGCAGCTTTATTCACAATAGCCAAAGGGAAAACATGCCAAATGTCCATTAACTTTTACATGGATAAACAAATGTGGTATACCTATACAACCGAATATTATTCAATCACAAAGAGGGATAAAAAACAAATACATACTACCATACAATAAACCTGGAAAACATTATGTTGAATGAAAGATGCAAGACACCAAATGTCACATGTTGTACAATTTCATTTATATAAACTATCTGTGGTAGGTAAATTCACAACACACACAGTAGATTTGCGGTTGTCAGGTGTTGGTGGGGAAAAGAGATATGGGGAGGCCACTAATGGGTGTTTCTTTTAGGAATAATGACAATGTTCTAGAATTGGATAGTGTTAATGGCTACACACCTTTCTGAATATACTTTAAAAAACCCCACTGAATTATATATACTTTTTTTGTTTTGAGTTGGGTCTCACTCCTTTACCCAGGCTGGAGTGCAGCAGTACGCATGCTTACAGCCACCCTAGCCTCGACCTTCTGGGCTCCAGTTATCTTTCTGCCTCAGCCTTCCGAGTAGCCGGAACTACAGATGTGCACTACCATGCCTGGCTATTTTTTATTTTATCGTTAGAGACAAGTTCTCACCAAGTTGTCCGGGCTGGTCTCGACCCGCGGGCTCAGGCAATCCACTTGCCTTGGCCTCCCAAAGTGATGGGATTACAGGCTGAGCCACCAAGCCCAGCCTTGAATTGTGTACTTTTAAAGGATGAATTTTATGGCACGTGAACTACATATCAATAAAGAACGATAAAGGAAAAATGGTCTAAATCTACTATAGTAAAATGTCAGGATGTGGTAAAGTTTGATATTTGGTCCACGATACGTTTTACATAATTCTTCATTGTTCCTCTATGTGTGAAATACTTTATTTATTTAGTTATTTATTTTTGAGTTGGAGTCTCACTCTGTCACCCAGACTGGTGTGCAGTGGCACGCTCCCAGCCACCGCAGCCTCGACCTGCTGGGCTCCGGCAATCCTTCCGCCTCAGCTTTCCAAGTAGCTGAAACTACAGGCATGCGCTATCACGCCCGGCTAATTTTTGATTTTATTGTAGAGAAGAGGTCTCACCAAATTGCCCAGGAGGGTCTCGAACCCGTGGACTCAGGCAATCCACTCACCTCAGCCTCCCAAAGCGCTGGGATTACAGGCTAAGCCACCGAGCCTGGCTAAAATACTTAATTTTTAAAAAGCAGGTACAGTAAGATAAAGTATGGTATAGAAGGGGAAAAAAACAGATTAACAGAAAAGGTTCAGAAATATACCCAAGTTTATACAAGAATGTAGCATATTTCAAAGGATGCATTTTGAATCCTAGGGGTAAAATAGATTATTCAAAATATAAACAGACATTTGGAAAAATAAATCTAGGAGTAAGGTGGGGTTTAGTCTAGGCTCTTTCCAGTGTCAAGTGTTCAAAGAAAGCTCTGATGAACACAGGGCAGTCCTGTCCCCATTACTCTCCTCTTGGCAAACAAAAAGTTTTAATGAGGTTATTCTGAAAGACTTATTAATAACAACAGTATTAAAAATGTTAGTACTAACATTTATCAGAATTAGTTAAAGATTAACTTGCAATTCCAGTTTTACCCTGATCACCAATTAGTACTTTGTTGATTTTATTATCTGGAACCAAATATGATTCATCACAAAACTTTCCACTGAATATGTTCTGAATAACAGGAAAAGAAACAGCACTTATTTGCTCAACATTTTTAGCACAAACTAAGCACAGAACATTAGATACACAGCGATAAACAAAACAAATTGACATAGAGGGAATAAAAGCCTAACAATACAAATAAAGGGCATTGTACCCATTAAAGAGAAGAGAGGCAGAAGAGACTTGGAAGGAGTAACAAAGAAAGTTACTCAGTTATTGTGAGAACCCACAATAAGTTTATAAAAGGGCATTGTGACAACAGGCTGACACAAAAGTTAACTATGATACCCAAGAGAAATAATATACACTCCTCACCAGGTGCCTTATAAGATTAAAACTATCTTTAAGATGGTTTTCACTCTGTGGTCGAAATCAGTATGAAGATGAAGGGGAATGTAGGGAGAATATAATAATACTGGAAATATCTTCAAATAATCTTAAAGTAGGAACATACTAAGTGGCTCTGTAATGGATACAAAAAAGTGAATTCAAGCTATCTTTCAAACAGATATCTGAAATCATATGGTAATAAACTGGGGAAGAGAGAAAAAAGAACACCAATTTAATTCAGCTTAATCAGAAAAGTACCTGCTGTTTGTGGCAGTATCCTGAACACTGGCATTTTTATGACTTAATAAGGTATCTTCTCTTGTAATCTAAGAAAATTAAATCATAAACAATTAAATCTTTGTTAAAGACACTGAAGCAACAAGAAATTTACATTTCTTTCTGGTAAAAATAAAAATGTCAGTTTGCTTTAGGTCAGATGGGAGGCAATCATACCTTATCTATGGAAATATCAGTAATTCATCTAGTACAGTCCTATCCCATACCTAAACTAATTATCCAAGATTCATTTTCAATACATTTGACATAAAAATCCACATGCTCTTACTACACAGCTTAAATAATGGACCCATTAAAAAATGTACAGTTTGATGAATTAAAAATATATATATAGATGCATAACCAACATATGCAACACATTCACCCTTCCCCCCCTTGAAGCCTCCCACATAATCCCATCAAAACCCCTTACTGGGGGCAAACAACAATCTATACTTTACACAGTTTCATATAGCTGGAATTATATAATACCTATCTTTTGGGTCTGCTTTTTTAGAGCAGCATAATTTTTTGGGATTCAGTTGCTGCATATATCACTAATTCATTCCTTTTCATTTGATGAGTAGTATATCACTGTATGAATATACCACAGTATCTGTTTAACTATTGATGAACATTTGGGTTGTTTCCAGTTTTTAACTACTACAAAAAAGCTGCAAGGAACATCTGTATACTAATATTTGTATTAACCTAAGTTTTGATTTCTCTTGGGCAAATACTTAAGTGTATGTTTAATGCATTGCCAAACTCTTTTCTGAATTTTATGATTTTACCAGCAATGTATGTGTATTGCAGGAGCTCCATCATCACCAACTCAGAGATGATCAGTCTTTAATTTTAGCTATTTCAGTGGATGTGCCTTTTACCATGATTTTGTTCATCGGTGTCCTTTATCAAGTTGAGGAAGTTCCATTCTATTCCAAATGTGTTGAGTGCTTTTATTATGAACAGGTTTTGAATTTTGTGAAATGATTTTTCTACATGAATTGAGACCATTTTTTTTGTTTGTTTTTGAGTTGGAGTCTCCCTCTGTCGCCCAGACTGGAGTGCAGTGACCGCTCCTGGTCACCGCAGCCTCGACCCGCTGGGCTCCGGCAATCCTTCCGCCTCAGTCTTCCAAGTAGCCGGAATTACAGGTATGCGCTACCATGCCTGGCTGATTTTTTGATTTATTGTAGAGAGGAGGTCTCGCTGCCCAGGCGGGTCTCGAAGCCGCGGGCTCAGGCAATCCACTCACCTCAGCCTCCCAAAGGCACGGGATTACAGGCTGAGCCACCGAGCCCGGCTTGATTACATTTTGTTAAGGACTGTTACATTAATGTTAAAGATAAGTCTTGGTCTATAGACTCTTTTCTTGTAATTTTTTTTTTTTTTGTGAACACTGGGTACTGGGATAACACTAGTCTTCCTCACAAAGTGAATGGGAAGTGCTCCTTTCTATTCTATTTTCTGAAAGAGTTTGTGTAGAACTGTTATCATGTCTTCCTTAATTAAATATTTGGTAGATTGCAACAAAAAAGGTGTCTGATCCTAGGTTTATCTTCATGAGCAGGTTTTTAAACTGTAAGATCAAGTTCCTTTAATATAGGGCTATTCATGTTATTTCTCTCTTCTTTGAGTCAAGAAAGACCCAACAGTATAACTGAAATGCAAGGTAATGATGTCTTAGTCTATTCAGGTTGCTATAACAAAATACCATAAGCTAGGTGGCATATGAATAACAAATATTTACTCCTCACAGCAGCTCTGGAAGCTGAGAATTCCAAGATCAAGACACTGGGAGATTCAGCATCTGGTGAGGGCCCATTCCTCATAGATGGCTCCTCCTTGCTGCATCCTCACATGGTAGAAGGGACAAACAAGTTCCCTCAGGGCTCTTTTATAAGAGCACTAATCCCATTCATGAAGGCTCCACCTTCATGATGTAATCACCTCCCATAGGCCTCATCTGTTAATACCATGGCTTTGGGGATTAGGTTCCAACATACATTTTTGGGTACATGCAAACATTCAGACAATAGTAGATAATAGCAACTATTATTATTACTGCTTCTTTAACTATTGAGGTCAACATTTTTAAAAGCTCATTATGGGCCAGGCACTATTCCATGTCCTTTACATTAATTATCTTACTTCATCTTTATAACCAACCCTAGAGTAGTACTACCATTATCTTATTTTAAACATTATTAAATTGAGGCTCAGAGAAATTTAACTTGCCCCAAGTCAGAAAGATAGTACGTGATAGAACAGAAATGGGATTTCAGAGCCAACATTGTCACATTTTATATGTAAATATTGTTTTATGCTTATATCGTGAGGAGAGGGTAGATAAAAAGCATGATCAACATTCCTAACGTTCACTCAGTTCTCTTCAAGGTCTAGGGACAGGATGGGCATAAAACATCTTCTTGGTGACAGGAGATTCTGAAATCCTAGTTGACAACCTGACTTGGTGAGGTAGGCTTCTTCTTGGTTTCAGGATGGAGGATAAGTCTGAAAGTCACAGAGTGCTGAGGACAAGCTGACCTTTTGAGAGCATGGCTGCCATACCCCTCCTTGGAGCTGGTCCCTACCCACTATATCCTTCACCATGTCACAGCCAACTCTTCACCCTTGTACCTCATGTTGTTGCTAATAACATCAAAATGTTGCCGAATTGAGGGCAGACGGGTGATGCAGAAAAGTGGATGGATAAAGACAGACCTAGAATCACAGACTTAATATCGAGAGAAAGCTAAAAAAAAAGAATCACTAGGTTTTCTGGCTATAAAAGTGGCAAAAATTAAGGACCCACTTTTACAGAAATGTGGCTTTTTAAAAGCTGCTATATTCCTGAGCATCTTTAGGCTTATGTTCCCCCCATGCTACCCTCTCCTAACCTAGCTTGATTAGAATTTAGACTCAGGGAAGGCAATTTCCCATTGTGAGCACATGTCTTGACACACAACTCTACCTCGAGTCACTTGCTAAGTCCCACGTTCTTTTCATTGCACCAGGACTATCACTACTAAAGGCAGCTTACCTTATTCACTGCTTCTACTTGAGCCTTCAAAATGTTACTCTTGAAGTCAGGAGGAACTCTCGTGGCACTCAGTCCTGGGCTCTCAATGGCATTATTAAGACACTTTTCAGTCAACTTCACCACTTCCTCCTAGGTATTAAAAATATACTGTAAAATAAACTCTGATTGGCCACAGTTATATAGACATAGGAAAGGGAATGATGAAAGTTTACATTCAGACAATCAGGAAAGCATGTGTCTCAGGCAGTCATATCCTATTCTAGGCATGATCAATTCCTATAATCATTTATCTTCTGACAGCTCCAGAATTACAGAATTAGCCAGAATTAGCCTCTGTGGGGCCTCATCTAAACTCCAGATGCAATTAAGTACAGCAAATGTTGCATATTCTCCCTGTGTGATTTAATTCAGGTATTTGTCCCAGATGGTATAGCCAGTTATTCAGCTGCTTAAAGACAGGAAATTGGGCTCAATGATTTCTAGAGGTCCCTATAATTCAATATTATGAATTAGTATTTCATATAACTTTGGAGCTATCACCAAGAAGATAATTGTGTTTGGGATTATATATAACACAGCCAAAAAAGATCACCTTGAGATAGAACCTTAAGAAACAGACAGAATAAGGCATAAATTCAGTCAATGAAGGCCATAATTAAAATAATATAAACTAGCTATTATGGAAAAAAAATGTGAGGAAGCAGATTAAGAAATAAAATTAAAAGAGATGCAAATTATCTGTACTACAACTGATATCTTACTTTAAAATGAATGACAATCATTATTAACAATAACAATTGTTATTATTGTTGTTGCTATTTTAACACTGGTCTAAATAACAAACTCACTCTAAGTATTTTCTTAGTGTCAGATACTTGGGGCTTTTGTTCTGTATGACAGGTCAGTTTCTGGGTATAGGATTACATACTGCACCATCCTTACAGTTTTGAAAATATTTAATTAGTGTGACTGCTCCAATTTGGTGTTTCTCAGTGTGGTCTTCACATATCTGCCTCTGGGTGGGACTCCAAAATCTGAATTTTTAACAAGCTTCCCCACGCAATTCTGATACACATACGAGTCTGAGAGTCACTACTGTAGACTATTCATGCCTGTGACCTCCTAGTCTTTAGAATGGTCCCTATCTTAGCTGAAAGAAGTCATTGCATCCTTTTTCACTCTTGGCTGGTTCACATGCTTTGATGTAATTTTCAGACAATTATGCTGCAGACTTGAGATTACTTGTTAATCATTGATATTTGCATATTACAGGATTCTCAAAGCAACCTGCCTCTGATATAGGAAGATACTTCTTTTTGAGCCTATATTAAAAACAAAAACAAGAATTCAACACACATAACACTGGTAGCAGTATAAACTGTTACCATTTTTCTGGAAATAAATTTTGCAAAAGTACCAGAGATCTCAAAATTATGCCTGTCTTTTGACCCAGCACTTCTACTTCCTGGGTATTATCCCAGGCAAATAATCAAAGATGATTATAAATATTTATTTATAAGATTGCTTATCATAGTATTCATTATGACTGAATAAGCAACAATCTAAATGTCTAGCAGTTACCTGAGCAAACACATTGATGACACACTCATGTAATTTAACTATTGCCATATGTTGCTGTAATAAAGCTATTTATATATTTTTTTTTCTAGTTTCAAAAAGCAGTGTCAGCTAGGCTCGGTGGCTCAGCCTATAATCCCAACACTTTGGGAGGACGAGGCGAGTGGATTGCCTGAGCCCGTGGGTTCGAGACCAGCCCGGGCAACCTGGGAAGACCTCGTCTCTACAATAAATCAAAAATTAGCTGGACATGGTAGCGCGCTACTGTAATTCCAGCTACTCAGAAGGCTGAGGTGGAAGGATCGCCTGAGCCCAGAAGATCAACGCTGGGGTGGCTGTGAGCGTGCATGCCACTGCACTTCAGCCTGGGCGAAGGAGTGAGACTCAAAAAAAAAAAAAAAGCAGTGTCAATGCATTTTTACTTCTGAAACGTATATATCAAATTTAAATGTTTTGAAGTTTATTCTGTAAAAATGTTACCTGTAGTTATCTCTTAGTAATGGGATAATAAATATTAATTTCTGCTTTTTTAAACCTGTACTTTCTACAGTTGTCACATATGTATACAATAGAAAAAACAACTGAATATAAGTTGAGTGTAAAAGCTTTAATATTTTCACATTATTTTACTATAGCACATCATTCCAGTGTTATCCAGTTACTATACTGCTGATACATTTGCCTTGGAGGGCCAAAATGTGGCAAACAGAGGGCCGAAAGAATTAAAAGGATACTCTGATTCCTAAACAACCCAAATTAGATCTGAATATAAATTAGACTCTACTTTAGGGTAGGCCTTGGTTGTCAGAGCCAGTGTAGTTAGGAGTTCATATCAAAAACTAAAGTAGATCCAAAGTTTGCTTTAATTCTCGACCAGAATAACACCCACTCTTCCAGAAAGCTCCAAGTGCCCTCAAAAATTATTCAGAAACCGAAACCACTCTAGAAAAGATCTAGGCTAGGAAACATGAACACCTTTTAGCAGGGCATTTATACAGCAAAGCATAAAATTAAGAATTAGTATAAAGTAAAACTCAAAAGAAAAACGGTACTTTTTTACATAAAGGGGTTTCAATTCAGAGAGCTCTGTCTTTAAATGTCTCAGAAACACTAAAAGTACTAAACTAAAAAAAAAGTATACAAAGCTCTTAACCCAAGGAAGCTCGTTAACCTTGAAACAATGCAAGACAAATAGGATATGAATTTTTACAGCTAGCCTACTATACAGCCAGTTAAAAAAAAAAAGATACCAGGAGCATAACAAATTGGTTTCCAGAAACAAAGGATGACTTAAAAATTATTTTAAAACAAACAAAAAACTACACTGATAATATTAATATCCAATTAGTGACCATTCTTCAAGCCAGAAAAGTTAAGGTAATTATTGCCAAATAGGAAATATTTACCTTTACATCTTTTTTTTTTTTTTTGAGTTGGAGTCGCCCAGACTGGATTGCAGTGGCCGCTCCCGGCCACCGCAACCTCGACCTGCTGGGCTCCGGCGATCCTTCCGCCTCAGCCTTCCAAGTAGCTGGAATTACAGGCGTGCGCTACCACGCCCGGCTATGCCTTTACATCTTTAAAAGTATTATTTTGAGGTAGGTTAGTGAGTGCAGGAAAATGTGACCTCTGTTTCGCCCTACAAGAAGCACGAAGCCAGTAGCTAAAAGTTTGGAAAACACTTCCAGGTTGTTTACGGTTGGAGTCAGCAAAACAGAGCAGGCCCTCCACCTTCTAGACCACCTGATGATTGTAAGCAGAACACGAGCTTATCACCCAGTCAGACGCCCAAATGAAGGCAAATTCATGGTCCTCACAACCCTCAACTCCACCCAATCACTCTCTTGAAGGGAGAGGAGATAGAAGGCAGTCACCAAGACTTCCTCAAGTCAGTTCTCACTCTGACACTATCCATACTCCCATCCCCTGGAATGTGTACTTTCCTTCCTTGGGGCTCTCCTCTTGAGACTGTCTGTCCTCACTCCCTTTCCCTTTAGGTGTACTTTTGTCTCAATAAACTACTTTACTCACCAATTTGGTGATTTGCTCTTGAATTCTTTCCTTCAGTGAAGTCAAGATCTCGGACGAGAGTTGAGATCTCATCTAAAGAGACCTCCTCTCCAGCAACAATTTCTACTTACTAATTAACCCTTTGCACTTGGAGACATCTTTCGGATCACCTACCAGCAACTCAACTGCACTTTTTTTTTAACAAAATAGTGAAAAACAAACCACTTCATATTAAATAGTATGGCACTGGAGCCAATTATTTTATTGTTATGATACTTGGCTTACAGTGGAATTTTGGACATTGAGAAAAGTATATCTTATACTTTTCTAACATGTGAAACAGTCATTGACAGGTTCATTGATACATGTTGGGCAATAGGAATTTGTCTGATATCTTCCACCCGGTATTTTTCTATTTGAGCAGACAATGCAGTCATATTTTCTTCCTCCCACATGAACAATATGCAATCTATTGTCCAGTCTGTTGATCGAAGACAATGTAGACATACTCGTGATTCCTGAAAGCCACTTCTCAAATGATCGATCGATCAGAAGCTTGACAAATTTCAAATGAGACATAGATTTTTTAAATGGAAAACGTTAAGGAAACATACATCTTAAAAAAAATGTGTGCTTGCATATTTGGCCTGTGTAATCACCAGCAATCTTTTTATATTCCCTGAGAGGTGATATCCAAGTGGTTTGTTAGATTTATGATGTCCCCTCAGAGGGGACATTCAAGTGCAAAGGGTTAAGTCATATGCATCAACTCGCTGATCACAAATTGTGGCCCTCCTCTGTGTGCTTAATGTCTCCATTCCCCAAAGAAAAGTGAGATCTATCATCACACATGTGTGTCCAAACCTGGAGTTGAGAGAAAGTAAGTAACTGCTTCTTGGTGATATCCTTTTAGGGTCTGCATAGAAAGAAAATTAAAAGGGAAAAATGACAATAATGATCCTAAATCAGTATGAGATGGCAACTTGCTGCTACATTAAATTCCTAACAATCAAAAGAAAAGGCCAGCAAACTACAACCCGACAGGCAAATCTGGTTTACCACCTGTTGTTGTAAATACTGTTTATTGGAATACAGCCATGCTCATTCCTCTATGTTGCTTTCATGCTACAATGGTAGAGTTGAGTACGTGTGACAGACAATCTAAGGTTGGCAAAGACTAAAATATTTACTCTCTGGACCTTTACTGAAATAGTCTGCCAACTCTGGATCATGAGAATACAGTTTTCATGCCCTACTTTCAATCTTTAAGCCTAAAAAGACTAGCTGCTAAAGGTCATGGAGATCATAATTGTGCTCACTGTCCTTACTAATGAACGTACAGATTTTGTTACTTTGTTTTTTATTTGATTACTGTTCGTCAAACGATAAGAAAAAATGATTCTTGAAATAGAATTTGGAGATGAAGAAAATTCTGGATTGTCTCAGGTACCTAAAGAGGAGGAAAGTAATGGAAAAACCTCAAGATTCTGATATGGCATAGGCTGTAAAGGATTTCAAAGGCACAGGCCAGGAGAAAGCACAGGCTAGTGAGAGAGGGTGGGAGGATGAAGGGAACAAAAGAAGAAGATGAATGTATTTATTACCCATGAACTGTACACTTAAAAACTGTAAAGACGCTAAGTTATATATGTACATTTTACCTCAATTAAAAAAAATGAGCACAGAGACTAAGTTGTAGAAAGGAGGAGGCATCTCAAAGTTAGAAGAAACAATCAGTCCATTCAACCAGCAAAATACTCCACAAGGTGGTTAATCTTTAGTCTTGGCCTGAGAAACCCTGCATGCACATGGAGAACTTAATGCTCCTCAGTCAGCACATTCAATTTGTAGATGACTGTTGAGAAACGCTTTCTTATGTTAATGTGAATTCTGTTTACCTCTAACATCACTTACTGACCATAACTCTACTCTGAGGCTATTAAAAAACAAGTCGCATTAATTCCTCTTTCACATAAAAGCTCTTTGGGTATCTAAAGGTAGCTAAAGTGGCTCTCTCCTGAGATTGCTATATGGTGATCCTCAAGCTATAATTCCAGTTATTTGGTTTCAAGATCCTTCACTATACAGATCCTTCTCAACTGCTTTAGCTTTGCTATATCATTTCTAAATAGTAGTATCCAGAAATGAATAAAATACTGTGGTTGGACCTCCCTTTTTAAACTCTTCCAATTAATACAGTTTAGATCTTTTGCAGGTAACTGTACTTGAGAGGATTTGCCATAATATGTTTTCTTAAATCCAGTACCCTATTCCAACCTGACAAAGTCTTCATGGATCCTGATTATACTTTCCAAAAATACTTCCCAGCTATTATCATCTGAAAATTCCATTAGCATAGGAGACCTAGGAAACAAAGTGGTCACTGGAGATGGTCATTTGTAATATAACTTCTGCAGGACTTGGTGGGACAGGATTAAAGTTTCCTGAAGGTCAAGACTTTGTCATTTGTCTGTGAATTACACACAATATTTATTACATCTTGCAATAAGTAGACCGCAAACACACTTGTAGAACTGAATCAACAGTATATAAGGGATCTCAGCTGACTGTATCAATCTTGTGAAATGTAGGTCTGATATGATCCTTCTACAATGGCTTCTCAGAACATGATCAAGTTCGCTGTCAGCAGTGCTAGTCTGAGCCTCAAGATTATATTGTTGGCTCATACTTTTTCAGTTACACAATTCTTATAGCTAGTCATTCAATAATGGATATTTTGCTTTAGAATGATGTATTTTATTTTCAGTAGGTTTTATTCCTAAAATTATTTTAGTTAGTAAGGCTGGCAATAAGATTGATTTGCATTCCTTAAGCAAACATCAATTGTTGATGGTAGAGGTAGCAATATCAGCCTAGATTAAAAATGTGTTACATTAAAAAAAAAAAGGAATCAACTTGTTCACAATATAGGCTAAATACCTCTTATCCAAAATGTCTGAGACCAGAAGTGTTTCAGATTTCCTAATTTTTTCAGATCTTGGAATATTTGCATCATACTTATCAGTTGAGCATCCCTAATACAAAAATCCGAAAATCAAAATTTACAATGAGTATTTCCTTCGAGCATCATGTTCAGTGCTCAAAATGTTTTGGATTTTACAGCAATGTGAATTTTGACTTTTCATATTAGGGATGCTCAATCCATAGTTGAGTTGACTACAATTAAGGTAAGGTAGTCAGATGTCCTTCATTTATTAGTACAATACTGAATTCTACCTTCTATTCTTGCTTGGCACAGAGTAAACCCTCACTAAATATTTTTCCCACTATGTGATCACTCAAATGCTTCTTGATGGCAAACTGACCCACACTCCTCCTCATCTTTTCAAGGCTTCAAAACTAACATAACAGATTCTTTGTCTTAGAGGCTCAGTCATATTATAGCAAGATATGTAGAAAATTTGACAAAAGAAACAAGTGGCTGTTCAACAGATTCCCATAAACCTCTAGCATAGCTCACAATCCCCTCTCTTCTCTCTATCCCCTAAATTCATCAGGCTTCATTCTTCATTAGGGTTATTACAGTTCTTCACTCAATTTTTGCCAAACTAATTATCAATCATCTAAAGTTTTAAATTCATCCTTCTGTTTCTGACCCTGCATTTCCCTACTTTACAAACATTAAAAATAAAAGAACTGACACTGAATACTGAAGAGCAAGAAGATGGAAAGTCTCTCTGAAATTTAATTACTTTCTGATAGATATTTCTGAGAAAAAACATATTAGGAAAAAAATGGGCCATTGGCTTGCTAAACTACCATTTGTTTTTTAAGTTATCGCCAGGCCATGTTTTTCCCTCTCCCTCTCCCTATATTTTCCAATCTAAAAAAAAACACTCTGATCCAGAAGGACCATTTTAATAATGACAATATAAGAAAGAAGAAAATCACTCTCTATACTAGTATTTACAGAAATTTCAGTTCATTATCCAAGGATAGACACGCGAACCAGCTGTTCCCCCTTCCTATTTAAAAACTAAATAAAATAAAACTCATCCTGGCCTTCTTATTGGTAGAATACTACTTACAGAAAAAAATAGTGTTGCTAGATCACTGCCCAAAACTTACTCTTTGTTTAGTGGGGACATTAGGTGGCTAATATGATTAATTATAAGATTTCTATCTCATTTGATTTATTTTAATTACCCCTATAAATTATTTCATAAGAAAAAAATTTTTAAAGTATAGTCACAATTAACTGAAGCATAATTGGTTTCACTGCTATGCACCCCACTCCACACCAAAAAAATTCAAAGGGGACAGGGTAGAGAAAAGAATAAAAGATCGGCCGGGCTCGGTGGCTCAGCCTGTAATCCCAGCACTCTGGGAGGCCGAGGTGAGTGGATTGCCTGAGCCTGCAGGTTCGAGACCTGCCTGGGCAACTTGGCGAGACCTCATCTCTACAATAAATCAAAAAATGAGCCGGGCGTGGTAGCGTGCGCCTGTAGTTCCAGCTACTTGGAAGGCTAAGGCAGAAGGATCACTGGAGCCCAGCGGGTCGAGGCTGTGGTGGCTGGGAGCGGCCACTGCACTCCAGTCTGGGTGACAGAGTGAGACTCCAACTCAAAAAAAAAAAAAAAAAGAATAAAAGATGAAGCTGAAGCATTTGAAATTTCATTCTGTCCCTTGTTTATACTGTAGAGCAGGTCTCCTTCAAATAAATCCTTTCATAAGTTCAGTAAATCCTTCAACTGGACGGGGCAGAATCAATATAAAAGGTTTGATGGCCATAACACTTTTGGTTGTGTTTAAAAAAAATTATGAAATGACAACTCTTAATGTTGCTGCACAAGTTTCCTCCTTCCCTCCTAAACACCCACAGATTTCATCTTTTTAAGTGAGAAAACCGGTTTATAAGAGTTCAGCACAGACAGATTTCCCAGCTAAAGAAAAGAGAAGTCATCTTTGGAAAGAAAAAATTTCTGGGAGTTCTGGAGATGTGTAACAGGTATACACAGGGGAAAACTGAATACCTGACTGTTGACATTAACATCGATGTTGGATCGAGGGGACGGCAAAGGACTGTTCTCCATCTCCAGCTGTTTGAGCTTTTCTGAGGCATCTTTAAATGCTGAAGAAAAAAAAAGGTAAAATAGTCCCTCAGTCTGCTAGGCTGTCACAGCTGTGTAAGGGTATGGTTTTGTTTTCTCAACACCAGTTACCATTAACTAAAAGTAACAATCCAGATAAACACAAAATAAACATATTTTCTTTCCATATCCAAATATCTCACCATTAATCTGATTAAGAGTTAATTATTAAATATTAATTAAGTAAGAGTCGATCGGAGCAGTCCTAAAAAGCAAGTGGATGTGGAATCTCCACAGCATGTGTGGTTAAGACGGTTTACCTAGCCAAGAGACTCAAAAGGCAGAGAAGACTTGTGACAGGGTCCCCTTCTTCCACAACAACCCAAGCTCATGCCTAACCTTAACACTTTGCCACCTTCACTCCTTAGCCTGCTTATCCACTGCCTAAAACAAATTTATATAGTTTGTGGAGCAAATTAATGAAGGATATACACTGATTCATTCATTGATTCGACATATTACATATTGGTGCCATCAGATGTAATGCAGAACAAGCATTTTGTCTTCATTACATTCTTCCTAGCTGAAAAATACATTACAAAGTTCTTTAACCACTGAAAAGGAAATACATTAAATAGAATTCATCTTTAAATGAACTCTAGTTTAACTGGCTACTCTGAAAAAATCTTATTTTAAAGGGATTACACTGATGTGGGCTTAAATTTTACACTGCCACTAGACAAAAAAAGTTGTTGAATGCCTAATAATTTCTATATAATCAGGTAGAAGAGGAAGAAACTTTGAAATCATGTCCTCTGGGGTCAAAGGGATCTTCTAAAAGTGTTCATCAGTTAACCAAATGAAGTCTCTCCCTGGCTGCAAAGGAGAATCAAATGGGGAGCTTTCAAGAAATACTCCCTCCCAGAGCTCACCCTAGAATAGTTATATCAGCATCTCTGGAGGTAGAATTCTGGCACGAGTAGCTTTTAAAACTCTCCGGATGATTTTAGTGTACAACCAAAGCTGAGAACCACTAACTTGACACTGCTCTTCTCAAAATCTTCCCTCCCCATTCACTTAATTGCTACCTCCTGGTTTTCTTATGCTTCAAATTACTTGACACTGATTTTTAGCATGATGATGTTGAAATAAAACATGCTTTAGCTTCTGCTGATAAATTAATACTTTTGGGTGGGTTGAAATAAAGCTCCTTCTGCTACTTCTGTTTGTCTGAGGAATACCCTGAGATGAATGATATGCTGTTTTTAAAAGTTACTATTTGTAACTAGTTACTTATGTGAATCAGAATTTTGACAGTACAATAAAAATAAAATACAGTATAAATTGGATACCAAGAGTGTAACACCTTAACAACATAAAAATGCTCTAATTATTCTCATTGATTGATTTTGAGTAAATGTTATAAATTATAACTAAGTAAATTCAACTATTAATGAAACCTCCAGACTGGAAGAACTTCTTCTGTCACAAACTCAACAACATTCAAGCTCTGCTTGAATACTTTCTATAAAAAGGAGCTCACTAACTCTTAGGTACCTATTTCTATGACATGGTAGATTCTTTCCTATACTGATGCAAAATTTGCTTTCCAATACTTGCAAATTGCTCATCCAAGATTCACCAATAAAGTGTCATAAAATAAATTCTTTGATATACCAGACTTTCCTTTTTTTTTTTTTTTTTTTGAGTTGGAGTCTCACTCTGTTGCCCAGACTGGAGTGCAGTGGCCGCATCCGGCCACCACAGCCTCGACCTGCTGGCTCCGGCGATCCTTCCGCCTCAGCCTTCCGAGTAGCCAGAATTACAGGCATGCGCTACCACGCCCGGCTGATTTTTTGATTTATTGTAGAGATGAAGTCTCGCTGCCCAGGTGGGTCTCGAACCCGCGGGCTCAGGCAATCCACTCACCTCAGCCTCCCAAAGGCACGGGATTACAGGCTGAGCCACCGAGCCCAGCGATATACCAGACTTTCAAATATTTGGAGAGTCAGTCCATCTCATTTGATCTTATCTAGGCCATTTTTAATTCATTTTACTGTTACCATAATCTAATACAATCTGCTAATACAACACTATGATACCGCTGAAGGGATTAAACTTTAAAAATTCACATAACAGGCAAAATGGAATATAAGTATAATCAATACTACCATCTCTATAAAGAAGGCTACTTTGATTTTAACTCTGGAAATAATCTTCATTAAGCTAGTCATGCTTCTGGCCAAATTTAAATCTTGATGGCTTGCTATGTCTCACATCATTCTAGTGATAAAGAGCAAACATTTCCAACATGAAATGGAATCAGAGCAGGACTGTTAAAACTGGACTAACAACAACAAAAAAATTACTGCAGAGAAATACATGAGCAATAGTAGTAAAGGATGTTTACTTAATCTAATAACTGACTACCACCTTAAAAAAAATCAAATTAGAACATCGGTCCGAATTATCAGTGTGACAAATCAATAAAGTTAATTCTTGTTTTCCTGATGTCAAACTAACAAGTACAATTTAAACACGCTTGATGTCAATAAAAGCAACCCTGATGTCCCAGAACTTTGTTTGCAATGGTTACTTAGGAAACAAAAGAACACATTTTTAACACCTCTTACCAGCAGCACTTCAGCATGTTCTATTAACCAGAAGTGTTGTGGGACTTTTCACTAACGCTTCTTATTTCTAAATTACTAAATACTATTGCTGTATTTTACACTCTTTAGAAGCACCAGCATACTCACTGGCAATTTTCTATGAGTTGTGTAAAGACTATGTCTAATCTTAGCCTGTGAAAGAAATCAAATTGGCAAGAGCCATATAAATACAAGCTGCTTTAAAATGAATACACATTACATTGAGATTCAGTAGGAAGCTACTGTTTAAAAACAGGTTATGCTTTAATATCAAACTAAACTCACAAATATACAGACATTTTCAGCAAGCAATTTACGTTCTCATTTTAACCTTTAAAAAAGGCTTCAAAAGCAGTATTCTTTTTTGTAATATTTACTTTTGTGGGCCTAGGCGATAATAATCCTCATTAATAACAAACTATTTCTAAGAGCTAATAGAATATTCAAACATTTGTTCAATCCTGTGCCCTTGAAAAATCTTTTTTTTTTTTTTTTTGAGTCATGGTCTCACTGTGTTGCCCAGGCTAGACCTCCAGGCTCAGGCAATCCTTTCACCTCAGCACCCTGAGTAGCTGGGACTACAAGCGCATACCATCATGCCCAGCTAATTCGGCTAATATCTTATTTTTATTTTTGGAGAGATGAGGTTTTGCTATGTTTCCCAGCCTGGACTTGAACTCCTGGGCTCAAGTAATCCACCTACCTTGGCCTCTGAAAGTGCAGAGATTACAAGCATGAGCCACCATACCCGGTCCTTTTTCCCCCTCTTCCTTCTTAATTTTCACTCAAGAAACAAACTAAAAAGCAAATTTAAAAATTCTTAAATATTTAATAACTTATAAATGATATATATGTTTAATGGCTCAATTATGTTGTCTTGAATATTTCAATGTTCCCCTAAGTCAAAAAAGGCAAGAAGGCATAACTATTCTGAATTAAATCTAAAAGTTCAACTATTACATAAAATATTGTTGGAGAAACTGATTTTAAAATCTCATTTCAAAGGGAGATAAAACAGGTATCATTGATATATTATAGAACATTTACTTACTCCCACATTCAATTTCAGATTCCTCTAAACCAGTCTGCCTGGTGGTTATGTTAATTTCATCCAGTGCTTGGGATGTTTCCATAGTGTCTGATGCCCCAATTACATCACCAATTGTTGTTTCCAATAAGTCTGGGCTAGCCAGCAAATCAATATTCAGAGGCAAACTGCAAAGTTAATAGAAAACTTACTTAGACCAAGAAATTTACCATGAAAACAATTTAATATACAGTTTGCCCTCCATGTCTGCAGGTTCCAGGGAATCTGTGGATTGAACAAGCTGTGGATTGAAAATATTCAAAAGAAAAATAAATTAAAAATAACAATATACCAATAAAAAGTACAAATAAAAAACAATATAGTTTAACAACTATTTACACAGCATTTACATTAGGTATGATTTAAATTATACAGGAGGATGTATGTAGGTTATACACAAATCCTACACCATCTAATATATGGGACTTGAGCATCTGAGGATTTCGATACTAACAAAAAGCTTTGGTTGGAAAAAGATTTATGGAAGAGTTTGAATCCCAACTGGCTTTATTCATCTTCCAAAATCCTCTAGGCAGACTTCTCTCAGACAAAATAAAGTAAAAAACCCTAGGTTAGCCTCCCACCTAAAATAACCTCAGGGAGAAAAAGAAACTATTTTCAAAACACTAGGCATCAGGCAACAAGAGACAATGCTTCTGAGAAACGGGAAACAAATGAGGTAAGTCCTACAAAAATCTTCAGAGCATTTCCAGGTCATGGCCCAGGGTGGGGGCGGGGATGGGGCACAGCATGGACGACTCCCTTCGCTGAGAAAAGGAGCCGCAGTCGAGGGAGCCAAAGGCCGCTAGAAGTCGCAGGACCGAGCAGCCTCAGCGGGGAGAGAAACACCACAAGAGAGCCCTGAAGGTATGCAGACAGTTCCTCTCAAGCATTCAGCAGAGTACTGGCTGATAAGAAGGTGTGTGTGGGGAAACTCCACACACTGAACAGATTACAGGGAACCACTGGCATTCACACCGGGTCATGGCCTGTTTCCATCGACTGACTGTATTTTTTAAAAATTTACTAATAGAGACCGTTTCTTGCTATGTTGCCCAGGCAGGTTTTGAACTCCTAGACTCAAGCAATCCTCCTTTCTTAACCTCCCAAAGTGCTAGGATTACAGGAGTTAGCCACTACACCTGACCCAGACTGTAAATATACATAATTCACAGGGCATTGCCTTGATAGTGAAGAAAAATTAACCTAGACTGAGCATTGCAACACTCACCTAACAAATCATGAAAGCGAGATCTAAAAGGATCAAACTGTTTCCAAGTAACTTAACTGCATCCCAAAACAAAGCTCAAGAAGATTTAGAGGATTACAAAAATATCTAGTACTCAACAAGGTAAGAGTCACAATGTCAGACATTTAAAGATTACCAGGAATACAAAGAGGCAGAAAAAGACATACCATACTAAAGAGAATAATCAATCAAAAATAACCTAGAAATTATGAATTTTGCAGTAACTTGGAAGGACTGAGAGTCTATAACACTTAGCAAGCTATCACAGAAACAACAAATTGAATACCACATGTTCTCATTCATAAGTGAACCCTGAATAGTTATAACGCTATAAGAAAGGGGTTGGCAGTGGTGGGAAACTGCCAAGGGAGGGAGGACAGTGGTACACTTCATCAATAAGGGTACGTGATCTCAAACCAGGTGAAGTGGGGACCAAAGTGAGGCCCAAACTTTACCTGTACAATGACCATTTGTATACCTAACCCTGAATTGTACTGCACATCTTTAAAATAAAAATTTTTTCAAGTTAAAAAGAAAGAAAATAACCCAGGACTAATCTAGATGTTAGAATTAGCAGAGAAAGACATTAAAAATTATTATAATTGTATTCCATGTTCTAAAAGTTAAGCAGAGATATGGAAGACATAAAAAAGACCCAAATCAAACTTCTAGAGATGAAAACGACAGTATCTGAGTTAAGAAACATATTGGCAGGGATTGATAGATTAGACATTAGAAAAAACACTGAACTCTAAAGTACAGCAATAAAAACTATTCAAAATAAAACAAGAAAAAAAAAAAAAAGAATTCCCCCAAAAGAAAAGAGTATCAGTTAGTTAGCTGTAGAACAACTTCAAGCAGCCTATTATAAAGATAAGTGGAGTCTCAAAGTAGGGGTGGGACAGAACAAATACTTGAAGAAATATGGCTGAAAATGTTCCAGATTAGATAAAAACTATAAACTCACAGATCGAAGAATATCAACAAACTCCAGACACAAGAAATATGAAAAAAAAACTACACCAAAGCACCTCACATTAAAACTGCTTAAAACCACTGCACTCCAGTCTGGGCAACTGAGTGAGACTCCAACTCAAACAAACAAACAAACAAACAAACAAAACAAACAAACAAAAAAACCAACAATAAAAATATAAGAACAGCCAGAGACATAATGTTCAAAAGAACAAAAGTGAGAATGATGGCAGATTTCTCACTAGGAACAATGCAAACTAGGTCAGTGGAGAATATCTTGAAAGTACTGAAAGAAAAACATTACCAACTAAAATTTTATACCTAGCAAAAAAAAAAAAAAAGCTTTCAAAAACAAAGGTGAACTTTGTATCAATGCAAGAGAAAAGCAAATGTGCAAAAATTTGCAAGAGAAATGCAAAAATGTATACATGAATGCTAAAAGAAGCATTATTCCTAATAGCCAAAAAGTGGAAACAACCCAAACGCCCATTTATGAATAAATGTGATATATCCATAGAGCTAAATACTATTCGGCAATAAAAAGGATAAATTACATGCTACAAGATCGATGACCCCTGAAAACATAATGGGAAAAAAAGCCTGTCATAAAATACACATATTGCATAATTCCGTTTATATGAGGTGTCTGTCTGGAATAGCCAAATTCATAGACCCAGAAAGTAATTTCATGGTTACCAGGAGCTGGAGGAGAGGTCGGGGAGGAACAGGGATTGACTGCTGTGGTATGAAGTCTCAAATTCGATTCAATAAGAAGTGCTTCCTTAACACCCGTGAGCCTAACGGGGCCCCAAATTCATCACTGTAGGTTTCTATCACCACATATGCTCCTCACACAGCGGGAAAGACTCCCCATCCAGCTAGTTCTATTCTCAATTGGACCAGCTACACTCTACCAAGTCCATAACCTAATTCCAACTTTCTGTTAGCTTGCAAAAGTATTCAAATAAGTCACTCACAGTCTCTGGTGGGAAACGGGGGTCACCTTACCCTTTTATTACTATGAAACATGCCATTTACAGCTTGTTTGCGCACTCTGCTCCCAAGTGCAACAGCTGTGTGCCTCTACATTGTTTTAGGTTTCCTATTCCCCTGGGTTGAGTTCATACAGCAGTCATCTCTTACATCCATTTTACATGGTTTCAGTTACCTGAAGTCAACCATGTGCAAAAATAGGAGAACAGTACAAAAATATATTTTCAGAGAGTTATTACACTCACATAACTTTTATTACAGTACTTTTATAACTGCTCTATTTTATAATTAGTTATTATTGCTAATCTCTTACTGTGCCTAATTTCTAAATTAAACTTTATCATATGTATGCATGTATAGGAAATAACATAGTATATATAGGGTTCCGTAATATTCACAATTTCAGGCATCCACTAGGGTCTTGGAACAAATCTCATGCAGGTAAGTACTTACTACTGTAAATTATATGACTAATAAATTGCTGTTCATCTCACCTGTCTTGTGTTGAGTATCATGTGTTCTGCCATTTCCTAGTATTTAAGGCAGGAGATCCCTCCCTCACCAAAAGGGGGCATAGAAGGAATCAGAACAACTGTTAATTGAGCACAGAGTTTCATTAAGGAAAACAACGATGTTCTAAAACAGGACTGCACTGATAGCTGCACAACCCTATTAATATGATAAAAACACAACTGCCCACATTCAATGAATAAGATGGTATGTGAATTATACCTTAATAAGGCAGTCTAAAAAAAAAAGGCAAAGAAGAGACATCATCAGATATTTAAAAAAAAATTCATGACCAGAAGCCTACACGTTAAAAACAACAGTTAAAGAAATACCTTCAGACAAAATGCCAGATGAAAGATGTGAATCTAAACAAAAAAATAAAGAGCACTGGAAAGAGTAACTACAAATGTAACACATGTAAGAGTTTTTTCTTAATATTTAAAGTGTTGAAAGAGACAACCACTTAAACAAAAAATACAATGCATATGGTTTATAACATATAAAAATAAAATGTTTGACATATGATAGCACAGAGGCTAGGAGAAATGAAAGTACACTACACTGTAAGGTTCTTACAGTATACACAAAATAGTATCACATCACTTGAAAGTAGACTGTGATAAAGCTGTACAAGAGGGAACCTAAAAATTTTTATTAAAAACTGTGTATTTATTCTTACATGTTTAAACTTTAGGCGCCTTCAAAATACTTTCTGCTTGATGTCATAACCAACCGAGACGATTTTTCCACTGTAGGAAAACAGTTTTTGAACTCGTCAATTTTCATGCCCTTTAGTGCTTCTGCCATTTTTTGTTTCATCTCTTCTACATCAGCAAAACGTTTCCCTTTGATGATTTTTTTCACCAGGGGAAACAAAAAAAAGTCACTTGGGGTGAGATCAGTGAATATGGTGGATGGGTCATGGGGATCATGCCATTTTTTGACCAAAAACTGCTGAACACTCAGCGTGGTGGGGGCAGGAGCACTCATAAATCACCCATCATAAAATGGGCAAATGCGCTGAAAGAATCTTCCCCCAAAATTCACTAAAGCTGAAAGCAGCCCCTCACGACAACGTAGGTTGGTTATATTGATGCTGATGGGTTCCCAGAACACCTACCTAGTATAATCTGTACTACAAGGGGCTACGCTCCAAAAAATAATTCCGGTTTTCTGTGGGTCCCCCTCTGTACATTTTAAAGCAATCAATAAATAAGAAAGCAAAGAAATATAGCTAAGGAGTGAAGAACATAAGTGGAATCAAGAGTGGGTTTCTTTTTTTAGAAACAGGGCTTCACTCAGGCTGGAAAGCAGTGGCACGATCACAGCTTACCACAACCTTGAATTCTTGGGGTCAAGAGATCCTCTTGTTTCCATCTCCAGAGTAGCCACCGTGCCCAG